TTGAATGAAAAAGAGACCCTGCATCAAGGGTAAGAGCCAGATAGTCACAGAGGGGACACCAGATGTTCTCCTCTGGCCCACACATGGGCATGAGCACCCCCCCACACGTGTACATACACATATACAGCACATGTACACACAGACACGAAGGAGAGAGAGAGAGAGAGAGAGAGAGAGAGAGAGAGAGAGAGAAATTCGTGACACTGTGTCTGTCTTGCCCATTGCTGTATCCCAAAGAATAAGCTTTCAGTGAGTAAAGATGGGGGCCGTCCTGAATCAAGGATAGCTCTCAGGATGCCTCTTCCATGACTCTCCAACTGTCTCTGGGGTCCCCTGGGAGGTAAGCAGAATCAAGGATTGCAATATGTTGGAAAAATGTTGAGCATTGATGCCAAGCCCTCCCTTAGCTAAATATCCTCTAGAGATTTCCTAAGGAAAACAAGATCATAAAGACTTCTGAAAATCTTCTCAGGCAGCCTGGAATGAGGCCTTGGGCACTGGGCTCAGGTGAGGTCAGGAAGTAGCTCAGTAAAACTCAAGAGGAATTGTTTACATCATCTTATGTCAAGCACCAGACCAGAACGTGTTCTCTCTCTCTCCCTCTCTCTCTCTCTCTCTCTCTCTCTCCCTCCCTCCCTCCCTCCCTCCCTAAATAAACACTTATTTTCTGTGATGGCCTGAATCATAATATCCCTCATAAGCCTAACTATTTGAGCACTTGGTTGTCAGTTACTGGCTCAGTTTGGGGCAGTCGAGGAACTTTTAGGAGGTGTGGCCTTGCTGGAGGAAGTATGTCACTGGGGGCGGGCTTTGACAGCTTATAGTGTTGTTCCACTTCCAACTTGCTCTGTTTCCTGTTTGCCATTGGAGATGTGAGCACTCGGTTCTCGGCTTCTGCCACCACACCTGCTGCATGCTGCCAGGCCTCTCTACCGTGATGGACTCTTATCCAACCGGAAACGTAAGCCAAAATAAATTCTTTCTTCTACAACTTGCCTTGGTCATGGTGTTTTATCACAGCAACAGAAGAGTAACTAAAACATTTCCTTAAACAACACACACACACACACACACACACACACACACCACACACAGTTTAAATGGCACATTCCACTAAAGAAAGAGCAATTCCTGCCCCACCACCCCCCTCAACCTCATCCTGCTTCTCGAAGGCTCCTCCTCAGTTCCCTTGGTGCTATCCTGAACTACAGCCCGACTTCCAGGCAATTCTGTGATCATCCATTTTGAATATTCCCTCCTGATTTCCTATTATGATAAACGACGTCTGATCTATTCACACCTCTCTTTTCATCTTCCCACTCTAAGCACAGCACAGATTTTTGTTTAAATCCATATCCTAGTTTTTTTATTATTAGGACCACATAGCATTGTTCACTGGTGAGCCAATAACAATCATTTCACTTGCTGTTTGAATTTAAGTCTTCCCACTTCTACCAACTGTCACATCTATCAATGCAATTTTCCAGAGTCAACCCTGAATAATTAATCTACCATCTTCTTTTCCCGGCCCCTCCCAGGCCCTCATCGACAGCCTGCCTTTCTAGAGGTTAGCGACTTCCTAGTCCAATCTGTAGGGGTGGGCCTCTGCCTTGTGGCTCTTGACCGAATCCCTTCCTGTTTCCTCACCTGTTGTGTGACAGTTTACTCAGAATTGAAATGTTCCCTCCAGGAGGGAGGGGGGAGGGCCACGAGACTCAGGAAGCAAATGAAAGGTCTGGGAGAACAGAAACTTGGAAGATTCTCAAGGCCCCTCCCAGGCAGTATAAAAAGGAGTAAACAGCTGTTGGAGGAGGAGGAGGCTCTGATCAATCGGGCTACAGAGAGAGAGAGAGTCTCAGTGTCCAGCTGCCTGCAGTCTGAAGAGAGCGCCAAGGTTGCAGCTTTCTTGAGTCGTCACTTGTGTGGGGTGGACTTTTTGTTGATGCAGTTGCTTTTGCACCACTCCTGTCCCTTTTAAGTATCCCTCCACCCATGTTCCTGTTAGTCATCCCAATAAAAACTCATTGGGTTCACCAAGTTCAAGACTGGTGAAATCAGTATTTTGGTCTATTGTGGGTTCCCATTCTGGGGTGAATAGACGTGAGCGTTGCATAACCCCAGGAAAAGTCTGCCACACATCACCCGGGGAATCTCCCGAGCTTCCTTCTCACCCTGGATTCCTGATCCCTGAGCATGGGTTTTCTTTCTTGGTAAATCAGTTTTAGTGGACCACGCCCTCCCTTCGCTTCCTGGTAAAGCTGCAAACATGTAGGTTTCTGAGGATTGAATATCTGAAAATAACTTCTGCCTCCAGCGTTCAGAGTTTGGGTTTGGAATTCCAGGTTGGGAATCATTCCCACTCAAAGTTATGACAACTTTGTCCCGAATCCTCTTGGTTCTCTGATGTAACTCTTGAGAAATCTGGTGTCAGCCCTGTTCTTGAACATTTTTTATGTTCCAGGTCCTTTTAAAAATTTTGGAATCTTGTCTTTATCCTTCAGATTCAGAAGTTTCATAAGGATATGCCTTGGTAGAAGTCTTATTCATTCATTTTCCTGAGCACTGGTTTGGACCGCTCCATCGGGAGATTGCTTTGCATTTTTTTCTTCAATGTCTTCGGCTCTACTATCGCTCTTGAGTTCTTGTCAGCCAGATCATCAGTCTCCAGGACTCAGTCTCACTTCTTCTCATCCTTTATCTTCTATAATGCACCCTGTGTCCTTTCTTATTCTCCTTCCCATGAGCTCTCTCTGATATTAATTTCCTAACCCTTCACTGAAAATAATATCTTGAAATTTGAACAAGGAGAGCAGGGAAACTGTGCCCCTTCAGATTATTTTAATTATCATTTTTTAAACATAATGACTTCACTTGTATCCCTTACAAAATCATAGTATGCCTCTTTTTAGTTCATCTTTGCCTTTGTTTTGAAGTTTCTTATTGGAGAATATCTATTTCTATTAAGTATCCAGTCCTAAAAGTTTATTAGAAGGTATTTATGAGGGCATTGATTGTGGGTTGATTGTCAAAGGTCTTTGAGCTTATTGCTTAGACTCTCCAAGCTCCTTCTTCATTAGAGCCTAGCTGCTTCCCTCAAGGCATGTATGTGTATTTCACTTAATCCCCATTTTCCACCTATCCCCCCAGTTCCACAACTCTGATGTATAGCCTGTAAGTTTCCCCGGAGAAAATGTCTCACGGTGCCCGTAGAACTGTCCGTGGTCCTGGTCTTCGTGAGGCTGGGATAGGAGCTACTCACAACATCACCCCTCCCCCAGCTTTCATCAGTCTCTAGCTACACCACCTTCCGCGATGCCCAGCACATGAGCTCTCTCCAGCTTCTGAGACTTTGGGGCTCTGTGAGGAAACGTGGTTTGCCACTTGCCATGGCTGCTTGGTTTCTCTACATGATCTGCCCCTCCCAGACATTTCTGTCTGTGTACAAGGTGAGGTTATGAACTTCCCCCAGTTTCGTTAAGTATAGAGGGTTTTTTTTTTTTTTTTCTTTTCGCTCTGTTATTTGGAAATAATTTTCGGGAATAGGAAGACAGAAGCATCTTTATTTCCCCATCTTAAAACCAAGTCTACACTGAGTCTACATTATCTTTTAATCCTCACAACTCTTGCCATTGTCATTAATAGAACTCATTTATGGAGGGTGTTAAGTTCTCTGACAGGGTCAGAGTTGCCAAGTAGCTAAGGAACCAGATCTAGCCAATGGGAGACCTGTTCTTTCTCGCATTCTCTCCTCTTCCCACTATGCTGAGCTCAGGAGAGAGTGGTAAACTCTAGCCAAGCCTGGATCTGCACGACTTGAGGACAATCTTAGCAGCTGGATGGTTGGCAGGATCTAGCATTAGCTTGGAAATAACTCTCTGGATGTGTTTGTGAAGGATTTTCTAGATTAGATCGTTGGGATGGGAAACAGCATCCCATGGACTAGGGGCTCCAGATTGCATTTAGAAAAGGAAAAATTAGTGGGGCTGGAAAGATGGCTCCATGGTTAAGAGCACATCTGCTCTTGCAAAGCACCCAGGTTCAATTTCCAGCACCCACATGGTGGCTAACAGCCATCAGTAACTCCAGGTCCAGGGGAATCCAGCGCCCTCTTCTGACTTCTAAGGGCATTGCAAGACATGGGTGCATTTACATACATGCAGGCAATGCACTCATATACAAAATAAAAATAATAAAAAGGAGAAATCGGCTGAGCATGAAACATTTATTACTCTTAATTTCTTGACTGTTGATGTAAGGTGACCAGCAGACTCGTGTGTTCCTGCTGACAATTCTTCCCATACGTGATGGACTGACCCTTGATCTTTCAGCCAAAGTCAACCCTTCCTCCCTTATGTCTCTTTGGTTAGTGTCTTAGTTTGGTTTCTCTATCACCATGACCAGAAACAACATGAGGAGGAAAGGGTTTTGTTGGCTTACACACCCAGACCACAGTTCATCCTTGAGGGAAGAAACCTGCGGTAAGAACCAAAGCACAGAAAATGGAGCAATGTTGCTCACTGGCCTGCTCCCCTGGCCTGTGCTCAGCCTGCTTTCTTACACAACCCAGGACCACCTGTCCAGGTATGGCACCACCCACAGTGGGCTGAGTCCTCCCACATCACTCAACAATCAAGAAAATGCCTCACAGATATTCTCAGGATGCAGGCACTGGAGAGTTGAGAAGTCCATGGATTACAGGAGGAAGGAGATAAGCACTTAGGCTTTGGACCCCTGAGGTCCCATGTATAGATAGCCACACCACAAAGACCCCAGTTTGTGACACCTTCTTAGAGAAATGTTGAGTCTCATGGAGGGAAATGAGCAGTTACGATTACACGGATCAAAATAAAAACAAAGGAGGCACACACCATTTCAAGCAGCTCCTAGTTTAATCATAAAATACAAATGTTCTAAAATTAAGTGTCTTACTTCTATCTTACCAACAACAACAAAAACAAAAATCACTCACGTTAGCTAAGTAGAGATGCCTGTGTGGTCAATCAAGTGTGAACGGGAGGGTGTCTGGCATGTGCTATGCGCAAGGGGTCTGTGCTTGTAAGTGTTGGTCAGAAGATGAATCTGGTTTTGCTGTTTCCTGTCAGTGACCTGGTTGGAGCCTTGGCTTTCCAAACTTCACACCATGCTGTTGCAGAATCCAGAATTCCAGAACCCTTAGCCCTGATCCAAGTGCAAAAAGAGGAAGGAAGAAGTCAAAAGCGTATGCCATTCCCACTGGAGGAAAAATAGGGGGTGTTCATCAAAGGGCCACTGGACGCTGAGTTGAAACTGAAAGAGAGGGAAAATGGATATCGTTATGGAATTCCTGATGTTACAAGAGACATTACAAAAAATAATATATTAGTTTTGTGGCTGTCAAAGGTTGGAAAGCCATGACAGGCTTGAAGACTGGAAGCTTCAGGACCCTACAAAGTCTTTGGCTCTAGGAAAGTAAAATACAAAAATGACACAATTGAGGGGTAGTGAAGGGCTGCTTCTGCCACTCACTTGGTCCAGGGAACTGCTATGAGCTTTTAAGAGCTCTGTCTGTGGGATCTATGCTCTTTCCACGCAGGAACCACAAAGCAGGAAGCTCTCTGGATCTGAGCACCTTGCTTGCATGCCCAAGAGCACCCTATCTGTTCTTAAAGGACCAGGTGAGTTAGGAAAGTCTGCACCATCACAGAAAAGTGCTGGTCCTGACACTTGATCTCCGAATCTGGACAATCCCGATGCAACATCCCCCTCACCAGCATCTCACTAAACCAGTCCCTTTATGTCGACCTTCATCAGAGAAATAACCTTGAGACATCACACAGTGAGAACCTGCTGGACTGCTAGATCTTCAGGGAAGGAAGACCTGAGATGTGAGCCTGGGCTTCTAAGCAGAAATCTGCACACCTCCCTGATTTTCCTCCTAGCACACTTACATTCATACTTTAAAACAGAGTTCAAAGGTCATCTCCTCCACAAAGACTTCCCTGACCTCTCTGGATGGAACAACTGACTCAGACTTCTGGGATCTGATTGCAATTTTTCCCACCGTTTTGCTAGGATACTTCAAATTGAAATTGAGCTCAATACAAATTGTGCCAAACAAATGGCTAGATTTAGTCTAATCCAGGGATTCTCCACCACTTCTCAGTTGGACAGGTGCATATTACAGAGGAGAGTCACGTTCAAGGCACCTTCCCGTGAGATGATGAAGCTGCGAAGGGGAGGGATGCAGGAGGGAATGGGTGATGGAAACAGACCACAGCACTAATTTGTAATGCCTCAGCTATAAACAGTATCTGTGGCTCACTAGTTGCAAGCATCCGTGGACCAGCAAGGCTTTGGATAATATTTCATTCCCTTCTCACTAAAATAAGTTTGAGGAGAGCAGAGATAGTTTATGGGCTGCTCGCTCTTCCACACTCAGTACCCTGCAGCCAGGTCCTAATAGGTAACGAATGCCTGTAGAAACCACACCCACTTTTCTCTCTTTCAAAAATCATACTGGATTATAAATGACTGAAAGTGATGGTAGCTAGATGTGGTGGTGCCTGCCTGTCATCCCAGAGCTTGGGAGGTGGAACAGGAGATCAAGACTTTGAGGCTGGCCTAGGCCACATAATAAGAGATCTTTTCAACCGTCAACATGGGCCAACTGTATGGTCTTAAACACCCAAAAAGAAAGTATAACCAAAGTGTAAAGTCATCAGTATATTTCTTTAAGAGTTCAGGGGATTACACTTCCTAGACATTAGGCTTAAGTCTATATAAACAGTTACTTAGGCAATTTTTCTCAATGATGACTTTGCTCCTAATCAGAAAGTGCTGCTCAGATGTAAGACTTCAAATCTTGGTCTCCAATCCTGTAGTGCCCACCTGTAGCTAAGGGAGACAACCAGCTATTGCTCTAAAATGATGGATAAATTTGTTTTCTCCCCCTATCTAGAAGCCTGTGAGAGGGAACTGACGCTGATTCTAACCACTCCAACAGCTATCAAAATACCTGAAAGCAAATCCTGAATCCATCACTCTAGAGTCCAGCCTTGGAAGACAAAAGGAAAATGAGGAGGAATCCAATAGAGGGATGCTTTTGGAAGCCCTTGTCAAGAAATTCCAATGGACTCTCATATGAACATTTGAAAATTGCCCTCTTCTTTTTTCTAGTTCCCTGTCTAGAACTTGTAATGCTAATTACTCTTGTCTTTACTTCTTTACATCTCCTATTCACAATTCAAGGACTTTCTTTCCCCCCTTGAGATAAGAGTTATGCAATTTGGGAGTCTTTTAGATGCACTGAAGGGGTACTCCAATTGCCTCACCCTGCATCCCTGTTCAGCATGGAAGAAACCAGAGCGGTCTGTGTCCCTATTCCCTATTGGAAATTTGGGTAACCCCTTCAGAGGATGGTGTGATAAGAATAGGAGGTAGGAATTGGCTAGGCAGTTAGGGTAAAAATACCCCAAAGAAATGTAGCCAGTTTCTTGGCTAAAACTCACAATCTCCTTGGGCCTTTTAGCAAAATACGGCAACATGTCCTTGAGCCTATTAACAACATACTCTATCCCAAAGGCCAAAAATATCAAAAGTATTTGGGAGCTTGTATCTAGTCCTTAAAAGATTTTAGGGTTACCTCTTCAGAGTTGGAGGGGAGGGAGTGGGCATGGATTTGATCAAAACACCTTATATGCAATGTATAAAATTCTCAATAATTCATTTTTAACAAATTAAATTTAAAAATAAATAAAAATAAAAGTCAGCCATAGGCAATTTTTCATGAAAAAAAAAAAAGAGATCTTTTCAAAAAGCTAAGGGCTAGGGGCGTGCCTCCATGCTAGAATGCTTGCCTAGCATGCAGGCCCTGGGTTCAATTCCAGCCCCGTAAAAAAACAAAGTGGTATTATTATAGGGTTACACTGGATTCTGTTCTGATTTATAAAATAAAAGCTAAAATCCATAATAGTTATCAGCAACAGATTGACCATGCTGTATCTTGTATCTGATTGCCACACCCCATCCATAAAGCTCCTCCAGGCTGACCTCCTAAATCAGATCAAGTGCCAAGGACAAGAGACATAAACACTAGGGGCCCTAGAGGAAGAGCAATCTGTATGCACTAGAGCTACCAAGGAATGCAACCTAGGAAGAAGGAGGAGGGAGGAGGAGGAGGGAGAGAAGAAAGAGGAAGGGGAGGGGAAGAGGAGGAAGGAGGAGGAGGAGGAGGGGAGGAGGCAGAGGCTCCTTGGATGTGGTGAGCATGCATCCTGGTTTATCTGAGACACCTGATAGAATGCTGTTTCCAGTATAATTATTACTCACGCCCCAGTAAACTGTCATTTTTATTATTGCTTAGAAGACATGGTTGTCAGCCCTTATGAAAGCATGCAAACCGACTCGGCAGAAGGACAGAGGGGCTCTCCTTCTCCTCCTCTAAGCACAGGAGCCCCTTGTTTCTTCCTCTCTTTAGTCCCCTTTCATCTTTCCTCTGTTTCCACTGACTATCCCTGCCTTCCAGATCAAACTCTCCGTTTGGATCCGTGCATCCGTCTTCCCTTGCCTGGTCTTCCGACCAGGGCTTGTCCCATTCACACTTCCTAAGTCCCCAACACCACACTGCCCGGTATTCCCAGCATTCCATCCTGTGGTACCTGACCTACTTTACATCACTCCCATCCCTGGATCCCTCACTCCTTCCTCTATTTACTTTCCAGTCCTCTTCCTGAGACTCCAATTGTTGCTCGTAGTTCACTAGAAGCTGCTTCTTAGATTCTTTGCTGGTCTCTCTGCCTCTCCCAGCCTCTCTACCTCCTAGAGGCCTCATGGCTGGGTCCTTGGGCGTCATCTCTTCTACATGTGCACTCCCGGTGATCTCATTCCATCCCAGGCCTTTATTTGGATGCTCTCCCCAATTCATTGCCAGCACCAGCTTTACCCCAAGCTGCAGACGCCTACATCCACCTGTCTACCAACAGCTCCACTCATCTGTCTAACAAGTTGAATGTCCAAGACTGAACTTATGAATAACCCCCTGCTCTAGTCAATTTGCCACTGTGGCTCGAGCAGGTGCACATGTCAGAAGCCTAGGATTTGTACATGGCTCCCCTTGTCCTCCTTCTGGGATCAAGTGCCTCCAGTTCTCCCAAGCAAATGCACATCCTAGATCATTTCAGTTGTCTCTTTCCCCACAGGCACCACCCTCATCTACATCACAAGTATCTCTTGCTTGAACAGCATTGAAGACGCCTGACCTGTTCTCCTGCATCAGCCCCCTCCCCCACTGCCCTTTTTCATACACTGATTGGGCAACATGACCTGTTCTATGCAGGAAATGAGAGCATGCTCTCCCCAATTCAAAGCCCTCCATGATATCGCCCTGGTCTTAAAACTCTTCTGGTGCTGACCAGGCCCGCCCACTCTCTCCCTCTCCCTTTGCTTCAGTCACATGTTCCCACCTGGGAGCTATTGCTGGTCTTTCTGCATAGTGTGCCTTTCCCTCATATGGATGCCTGGTTCGTTCTCATTGCACTGAGACCCTGGCTCACAAAGCCTCCCAGACAAATGTGGTGCTTCATGCCTGCAGTCTCCGCACTTGGAAGACTGAGGCAGGAGGATAGACATTAATGATCAGCCCTGGGCAGCATAGTGAGGACTTGTGATGAAGAATATGGAGGCAGAGGGAGAAGGAGGAGGGGGAGGGACAGGAGGAGGAGGGGAAGGGGACAGGAGGAGGAGGGGGAGGGACAGGAGGAGGAGCAGAAGGGGACAGGAGGAGGAGGGGGAGGGACAGGAGGAGGAGAGGAAGGGGACAGGAGGAGGAGGGGGAGGGACAGGAGGAGGAGCAGAAGGGGACAGGAGGAGGAGGGGGAGGGACAGGAGGAGGAGAGGAAGGGGACAGGAGGAGGAGGGGGAGGGACAGGAGGAGGAGCAGAAGGGGAAGAGGAGGAGAAGCTTCCCTTTCCAGGTAACTGCAGGTCACGTCTGCAGTCCTAGCACTCATTAAGCTGAGATAAGAGGATGGCCGTGATTTCAAGGCTAGCTCTGGACAATATAGTAAGACCTGCTTCAAAGACCAGTAAACAAAAAAGAGCCAAGCACGGCAGTGCACACCTGCAAACTCAGCACTTCAGAGGCTCAGGGAGGAGTTCTGGCTACACAGTGAGGCAAGCACGGTCAACATGAGAACTCGTCTCAAAAAAATTCCTTCCCTGGGTCTCCAGCCTCTTCTCCCCAGAATCTGATGGTGCATGTTGGCCTCTAGTCTCTGTTACCCCTAGATTGTGATCTCCATGAAAGAAGAAAACACTTCGACTTGTTCATTCCAGATCCCCAGTGCTGCGGACAGTGCCAGGCACAGAAAGAGGTTCAAGCAGATTTATTTTGTTTGGTTTGAGACAAGATATCACCATGTAGCCTAGGTTGGCCTCAAACTCAAGATCTTACCAGCTCACTTCCCAAGTGTTTGATTTCAGGCATGTGCATAGGTGTACATGCATACATGTGTGTGTATATGTGTGTGCATGCATGTGGCAGCCAGAGGTCAACTTTGGGTATCATTTCTAGGAACCATCCGCTGATTTTTTTTTTTTTTTTGAGATAGGGTCTCTCATTGGGACCCTAAATTAGACTAGGCCACTGAGCTCAGGAGATCCACCTGTCTGTCTCTCCAGCCCTGGGATTACAAGTGTGCACCATTGTGCCTGACTTTCTAGTGGGTTCTGGGACTCAACCTCAGGTCCTCGTGCTTACGTGGAAAGGCACGCACTTTACCAACTGAGCAATCTCCCCAGTTTCCTTTATCAGTATTTTCTTCTTTTTCTCAAGCAATCTAGTTTAACACAGGTCCACGTGCCCCATAAACATATGCTTCATCTGTTTCAGATGTGGTGGTAATATGATGGGCACATTCATATGATATAAAGACCAAAACAGATCTGCTTCTCATTTGGGACTATGATTTATGGGTGTCTCATACTTGGAAGGCTAGGTGGTTTTCCACGTGTTAGTATTTTCTTAATGAACAAATGTATCCCATCACCCTGTTCCGGCTCCGTCCTTCTGGTCTTCCCAGCCTCTGGGGCCACCACCACCCTGCCAACACCTTCCCCTTTCTTCATTTATCTCTCCTCTTTGCCTCAATGTCTCCTACTCTCCCCAGTGTCACTTCTACTCCTTAGACTGCTCCATCCTGGGTCTCCTGCCTGTTCTTTCCGTGTCATGCCCCTGTCCCTCCACAGACATGCAGAGACCAGGCCTCTGCCCTGGGTGCTTACAACTCCCCTGGCTCTCTGGGACAGGTAGTCATTTCTCCCGCAGGCCTGTTCCTGAGTGGAGAATCTAAGGCTGCACTGTGGGGGCACTTGCCATGATGCAGGATGTCTGTCTGGATCTCTCTGCCTCATACCTTCTCACCTCCAGAAAGATGAAAGATAACCTCTTGTTGAGATCCCCCCAAACTACACTTCGCCGCTTGTGCTCTCCCCTCGACTCATTGCTTCACCCTGACGTGCACAAGCCTTTATTAGATCCTCAGGCCTAGCAGCCAAATGCCTTTAATAATCCTTATTTCCAATTCTGTTTCCTACCCTTTCCAGGGACAAAGCTAATACTTCAAACACACACACCTTTATCCCCAGACTCTTTCTTGCTTGCCTGGCACCTTCTGGGCTGCGGGTGTGTGAGGCCCTAGGTTCCATTCCTAGTACCACAAAAAAAAAGAATCAAGGGGACCATTTCCATGATTTTCTGGCCCCATCCCACTGCAGGACCTGCTTCCCCTGTCTGGAATGCCTCCTCTAGCCTCTCAGTGAGACCTGCTCAGCCTGGGGCCACCTGGATGGCCTTCACTTTGCCAGAGCGCATTGTTCCCCAGTTCTGTTAGCTTGTTCTCTCTCTCTCTCTCTCTCTCTCTCTCTCTCTCTCTCTCTCTCTCTCTCTCTTTCTCTCCCTCTCTCTCTCTGAAAGAAAGAGTTTATGTATACCATATGCATACGTGTGCTCCCAGAGGATAGAAAAGACATTGAATCTCCTGGAACTGGAGTTACAGGTGGTTGTAAGATAGCTGATATGGGTACTAGGAACCAAACCCAGGTCCTCTGCAAGAGCAGTAAGGGGCTCTTAACCCTGAGCCATCTCTCTAGCCCCCAGCCCCCAACTTTTTGAAGAATAGATGTATGCTTTATCATCTATGATTTTCCTGTAGGCTATTTGCATTAACTCTCTAGATTAACACAATACTTTTCATGTGTGTGTGTGTCTGTCTGTCTGTCTGTCTGTCTGTTTTCCAGGGTTTACAACATGCTATGATGTGCTCTACAAAACAGAGAAGCGAGAGAGAGGGAGAGAGAGAGAGAAAGAGAGAGAGGGAGAAAAGGAGGGCGTAGAGGAGAAAATAAAGATGCATAAAAAGTTGTGGCTATCATGTTCAAATACCGCTATCGACCACTTCCTCTGACATTTTCCATGCACCCTAGGAAATTAAATGATCTGAGAGTTCCAATGGGTAAGAAATCTGTCTATCTTTGCTCCACACAGTTTTTCCCCAAACAGATCTGACTACCAAAACATCTTTGCAGCACTTATCCCTTTTCACAGGATGTTCAAGAAGATACTGACTGAAAGGATGAGAGTCTGTGGTCATGCAGCAGGCACGGTGTGAGGGGTCTGTGCCGGGCAATGGGGAGGACAGGAATCAGTGTCATCCTAGAGAGTCTGGTCCTAATCCTAGAAACTGACTTTCGAAAAGTGGGGCACACATGCCCCATGATCTGCCTAGGAGTGTGAATCCACCGGAATGATGTGGTGTCTCCTACCAATATCACCAGTAGTGATGATTTGGCTGGTTGGAATAAGAGGTTACTTGTTATTAGGTTAAAACAAACACAAATCGACACCATGCAAAGTCCAAGTGGAATTTTCAGCTTAACGGCGGAGTTTGTGTTGGCAGCTTCTAGTTGAGCCCTCACAAAAACCCAGGCCACACCAGACTTTTCTACTTTTGGGGGGATTTGGTGGATAAGCCATGGAAGATCCTTCGCCAACCTGTCAGGAAATCAAGGGCAGTGTTAGCCTGGCAAGGACTCCGTGATGCAGCCGGTGGGGGTGGGAGTCATAGGCAGATTACCTAACCAAGTCCTCTGCAAACCATTAAACAAACCATTACATTGTAAAGCCAGTGCATCAAGGGCCAGTTCCACACCCATGCAGTGTAGTTTTGCTTCTGATTGGGCAGCTGCAGTTCTGCAATTAGCCTGTGGGCAGCAACCTATAATTGACCTTCAAAGAACCTCCTGGACCCCAGCCGCTGCTCACCTCCACACCTGCTCCCTCCAAGGTCCTCATTGCCACTGGCCACAGGTACAAGCACCCCAACCCCACCGCAGCCACGGGACACATGCACCAAGAAATGCTGTGTGAAGGCCACCCCACTGGCCTCCCCTCTCTGACAGCTGCCTGAATACAAGTCAGATCCCACTCCCAGTGCAGCTGAGGACTCACCCATATCCCTGGGGGAAGAGGTAGGGAGGCCCATCTCCTGTCATGGGGGGAGGGTCTCTAGGATTGGTGGGCAGCTTCTGAGGGGTCCTCTGAGGGTACGAATAGTTGGGCTGGACGAAGGAGATGTAGCTCATCAGTGGTGTGTAGGAAGAGTGGAAAATTTGTTGTCCCATCTGCTGTGGGTTGTACGGTGTCACCTGCAGGGCAGAGAGGAGAGAGGAACAGGTTCACCATCCCCCAACCTTGATCCTCATCCCGGCTGCCACCTCCTAATTCCTGTGCCCCTTGCTTGCTTTATGTGTCTGAGCCTCATGTTCCTCATCCATAAAACAGACAAGCACTACCTACATGGTATGGGGATGGAATCAGTTAACAGGAGCAAAGAGGCGGGCACGCAGGAAATAGCAGCTGAGTATCTTTTCCATGCTCCTCCCTGTCCCCTGCCTTTCTGTCAATAACCATCCCCAAGCTCTGTGTTCAATGTTAATGCCTTTATTAGCTAAAAAAAAAAAAAAATTCTAGCTGCTTTGATTTATATTACTGGCTCCTGTCTCAGAAGCATCCATAGATTGCAAATCCTAGACAGCCCCACCCAGCAGCAATCCACACCATGGAAGACATCCACTGTGGTAACCACCAGCCACAGGAGGTTACAGAACTCTTGAAATCTGGCTAGAGTAAATGAGGAGCCAAAGACTGGATTTTACTGAACTGTGATTACTTTAAACAGACACACATGACTAGAGGCTACCATATTGGGCAGTACAGGAAAAGGTGCAAAAAATAAAAAGGGGTGCAGTGGGAGCAACCCAAGGGGAAGATGGGAATTCACTGGGGTTTCTGCAACTACCTGGGCAAACGTCTACTGAGAACTGGGAAGGACGTCATCTTTCTCATTCCTTGCTATGGCCCCAGCTCTAAGACAGGTTACACTGTGTGAATGAATCCGGGCAAGAGAGGCCAGGGAGGAGACTGGAAGGAGAGGAGCACCAGGAGTCTGGTGGTGTGATGGGCCTGCATGCATCAGAAGCAATGGTTCTCACTACTGACAGCGCACACACCAGAATACCTTTTCGCACATGGAGCTCACATCCATACTCCTGGGTGCTGAGTTTCTGTCAAAGCTGGGGAAACTTCTAGATTTCCACTCTACCCATAAGAGCTTAGAGTCCCAGGGATTGGGGCCCCCTCTCAACCCTGCACGCCCATTTCTAACATGAACCCACTTGGGCTAGCATGTATGGAGCCTTGAACTCAGCAGACCCCTCATCTGGGCTGTCACTAAACCCTCAAACTCTGTGAGATAAGACTCTGTGATGGCTAAGCTCCATAGTTAACTTCATGGGATTTAGAATCACCTAGGAAACACACCCCTGTGTGTGTCTGTGAATGTGTTTCCAGAGAGGTTTAACTGAGGAAGGAAGGCCCATCCTGAATGTGGTGGCTCCATCTTCATGCACTGGAGTCCCAGACTGAATAAATCAAGGACAAAGGAAAAACTAACTGAGCAGCAGCGTCCATCGGTCTCTGTTTCCTGACTGTGGTCGCACTGGGGCCGGCTGCCTCAGGTACCTGCAACCCTGCCTCCCCACCCTGACGGACTGTCCTCTGAGACTGTGAGCAAGAGAAAACCCTTCCCTAGGTTGCTTTTGTCAGTTTTTCTGTCACAGCAACGAGTAAAACAAGTAATGCGGCCCTTTCTGATTTCTGTTTTGGAGCCAAACAGGCTCAGAAAAAGAAAAAGACTTGCTTAGTGTCTCTAAGTCCTCCCCCAGCGTGGGGTCCAGAGCCTGGAATCTATTCCAGCCTTGCTCTGCTGTGTCCTCCCTGGGAGACAAGCCCTTCCCCCAGTCCTTGACAAAATTCTCCAAAAGAGAATACGAGGCCTCATGATGCTGGACATGGGCACCAAAAGCCTGAGAGGACAAGTGTGCCAGGGGATCACGGAGAGTCACAGGGAGGAGGCTCCCAGGACAGACTCTGTGGGGCTGAGGTAGGAAATACCCCTGGTCTCCATGGTGGGAAGAGAAGTGCCTGGCCCTGGCAGAGACTGAAATGAAGAGGTGAGTCCTAGAGCTCACACAAGCTTTGTTCAGGGATATGCCCATGATTCCACAGGGCTGATCAAAGCCAGCACATGGAGCTTTGTGTGGCGCTCTGGAACCATCTCCAAATACACTCATCTCTGACAAAAGCATAGAACAGTGTGCCCAGAATGCATTTGTTCAGAAATATTTATATAAATAGGTGTCCCTGGAAGGCTGTGAAAGAAACCAGTCAACAGTGGCGGCCTGTTTTTCAAATTTTCACCATGTTTTGTATCATGTTTTTCAAATATATGCACGTTTATAATTGCCTAAAAAGATACTTTGAGCCAGGAGGAGGGTCACCGTTGGTGGATGGAGGTGATGGGGCTGGGATTGCTTGAGACAGGCTCACATCTCTACCTTAGTCAGGATGAAAAAGACTTCATACTGCTGATTAAGCAGTCCTGACCCAGGTAATAAAGGACTTCGCACCTGTGGGCCCTTTTCTAAACCTCCCAAACCATACTAGCAGATTTCAGGTCAGAGCTGTGATTTGCAGGGGAAGGGTGGGACTCCCTGGTCCAGCCTGGGAATGTAACAGGCTAGTCTTCAGCTCCCTCTCTGTCTCCAGACCCAGTTAGTTACTTTCCTCGTGTCTCATTTCTGCCTCAAGATCCAATACCACTTCTTTGTCCACTCTGTGTGTGTGTGTGTGTGTGTGTGTGTGTGTGTGTGTGTGTGCGCGCGCGCGCGCACAAGTGCATAAGCGTTACGGCGCACACGTGGTGGTCAGAGGACAACCTTGGGCACTGGTCCCCACTCTCCCCCTTGTTTGTGGCAGGGTCTCTTGTTTACTGCTGTGTATGCCAGGCTAGCTGGCCCATATGATTCTGGGGACTCTCCTGTCTCCTTCTCCCATCATTCCTTAGCATGTTGGGATTACATGCTGGCTTTATGTGAGTTCTGAGGATCAAAACTCCGGCCCCCATGCTTGCACAGCAGGTGTTATATCCACTGAGCCATCTCCATAGCCCACCATCTGTACTTCTGTCTGCTTCTCTCTGTGTATCTGTTACCATGTCCGATGCCTTATTCTGACACAGTACTTTTGTTCATCTGTGTACAAGGAGTGTCAGACCTGGTGACCAGAATACTAGGTTGCCAAGGTCAGGCCTCAGATCTGCTCTGCGTTACTTTACAGGGGGTATTATACCGAAGTATCTTTACAAGTTGTGTTGCCACATTCAGCAAATAAAACTACAGAACACCAGGTTGAATCTGAATTGGAGATAAAGTATGAATGTATTTTTAACATAAATATGTCCTGTGCAATATTTAGGACATATGCTAAAGTCTTAATCATCATTTACCTGAATTCAAACTGAACTGGGTATTCCTATATTGGAACTGTCTAGCCCACACAGCAGGAAGATGCCAGGCAAAACTGTGGGTTCACTTTGGGCAATTGGAAAGTGGGTGGGCATCACCACGCACTAGCGCCAAGGCTCCCAGAGGCACTGTGAGTGTCTTTGTTGTCTCTTCTGCTCCTGATACCCAACAGGAGAGGAGCAACAGCTCCCACATCTTCAGCCCAGGCCCCAAAGGGCAGAGAGGAGAGCAGGCCTGAACCTGATCCACAGCCCATTCAGCCAACCGGAAGACTTGTGAGCAAGAATCTAAGATTCATTATTGAATCAGTCTACATCATTGAAGCTATTTGTTGCCACAGCAAACCCTAACTTGTATGTTAATGTTATAGCCTCAGTTTCCCCATCATTAGCATACTTCATAAGGTAGGTTAAGAAGGTTAAATTATTACAGCTAAGGCCCTTGTGGAAACACCTGGCACTGGCACACAGTAAGGGCTCTGCTAAATGTCACCTGTTATCATCATGTAAAGACATTGGTTTATGATTCGGCACCCATGTTGGTATGTGTGTCTGTCCCCAGGAGCCAATGATGGGCCAGAAAATAGAGGCAGTGACCACTGGGTAATGATGAGAGAGAAGATGGCAATGTGACCAAAAGTCCTCGTGGAGCTGGGGCATAGAAAGGTCACCCGCTCACCTGTCTGGAGTAGCAACCCAGTTGGGGGTGCACAGGCTGCTGATAGGGTATTCTTGTTGACCGCTGTGGGTACAGGCCCTAGGGAGAAAAAGAGAGCAGTTCAAGACGCTGGGCGAAGGTCCACAATTCAAATACAAGAGCTGCACTGTGCAGCCTCCTGCCTGCTCACAGGCCCAGATCTGCAGCCTGGATTGAGGTCCTCCCATGCCTCCCATGCCTAGACCTGACCAGATAGCTCAGGCCATGTGAGAAACCCCGCTTCCACAGACTCCAAAACCTCTTTGGTAAGAGTTTAGGAAAGGAGCTTTGGAGACTGACCATGTTTTGGAGCCCAGATCTGCCCTTTAGTGGCTGCTCTGTGGCCCTGGGAAATCTACTACACCCCTGAGACTCTTTTCCTTAGCTTCAGAGGTGTACGTGATCAGGTGGCAAAGCCTGTAGAAATAACCACATTATCTGTGCTATTGTCTACACAAGCGTGTGTAGAAACTAGAGGTCAACCTTCCATGTCATTCATTCCTCGGGTGCTGTCCACCTTGTTTTTTCAGACAAGGTCTCTCACTGGCCTGGGGCTCACCAAGTAGACTAGGGTGGCTGGCCAGTGATCCCCAGAGATCCTGCTTTCTCCTCCTCCCCACTGTGTTAGAATTACAAGCCTACCCCACCTTGCCCAGCTTTTTTTACTTGGGTTTTAGGGATGGAACGCAGATCCTCCTGCCTTCAAGGCAAGTACTTTATTGAGTTGTCCCCTGGCCCTGGTATACCTTTTCTACCATACCCTAAGCCCATTCCTTCCTAAGATATGAGGTGTCCCCAACACTTCCCCTTGTGTGCATATTGATTTAAATCTATGCTTAAGTATATCTGCATGTGTGATTGTGCCTGTGTCTATACAGCTGTGTTTCTGTGTACAGATGTGCAACTGTGCTTTTACGTATGTTCATCTGGGTTTCTGCTACTGGTGTTCTGTGTGTGTCTGTAGCTCACCGTGAGGAAGAGCAGGAGAAAGTACCTCGGCACATAGTAAGGACTCTGTAAATGTTAGGTCTGTCCATCATCCCCTGCTGCCCCCTCCTTCCAGAAGGCTCTCTGGCAGCTTAGCCCAAGGGAAATGGAAATTTTATTCACAACTCTTGTCAAAGTAAGGCCTGGGATTTCCATGTATCCACACACAGACACAAGATACGTGTACCTAGAATAACTGCTGCAAGGGGTGGGTCATCCCATGACCCCTCCAACTGTCGGCTCAACCACTGCCTAGGTCACAGGGGTGTTACCCATTCCTAGCCCTCAGTGAACTGCAAGGCAGATGGGTAGGTTGCTAAGGGCCCCTCTACTGTTTTTACCCCCTTTTGACCCGATTAATACATTTAACTCGCCACCTCTTCCAGGTCAGAGAACACCAAGCAAGCCTCCACCAACCCCTCCCATAGCAAACACCTGGCCAGCTCTGCTCCATCCTTGAAGGAGACTATGCTATGTTTCTTAGTATGAGCCTGACTTAGGGACGTTCCCAGTTGCTAAAACTACAGTTTTTGTCGGGTGCGGTGGTACACGCCTTTAATACCAGCATTTGGGAGGCAGAGGCAGGTGGATCTCTGTGAGTTTGAGGCCAGCCTGGTCTACATAGTGAGTTCCAGGCCAGCTGGGGCTACATGGAAACCCTGTCTCAAAAAAACCAAAAAAACAAAAACAAACAAAAAAAAACCCTACAGTTTTCTAAAATTGGGTAAATAAGCATCTCTCCTCTTGCTTGAGACCATAGATGTTCCCCACACGGCCTCCCTTCTTCATCTGGAGCTGCCGTTATTCCAAATGGTCCAGGAGCTTGGTGTTGGGAACTTTGTCTTCCCATCTCTAAGTTTCTCCATCATGGAGCTATAAGTAACTTGAATTTGGGGGCTCATTTTTATTCCTAAGGTCACATGTGGGGGAGGTCATGATAGACTACCTCCTGTTCTCCTCTGTGTCCCCCTCAAGGTTAGCTGAGCTCCCTGACCCCCTTCTCTTGGAAAACCAGAGCTGAATATCAATTAAAAAAAAAAATCTTTGTCATACTTAGATTTTAAGAGTACTTTCCTGTGCTTAGTCTCAATTAATCCTTACAAACAAATCAGTTTAGGCTGTTGTTGTAAATATGATAAATCCATCTCACAAGGAGAGAAGCTGGAACTCAGAACAGTTAATAAATTTGCCCAAGGCCACACAGTGTGGAGGCAGCAGAATCCTCATGCTAGTCTCCTGGTTTCCAGATCTTTCTTCTCTCTATTGGATCAGGCCTCCTGACCATCTGTCCTGCACTAGATGGTTGTGAGAAGCAGAGAAGGCAGAGGTGCTGTCTTTTGTCGCCACCTGGTAGGGTCGACTCCTACTGCCAGCGTCAGCCGGGTCCATTCAGTGCCTCTGCTGCCTCACAGAACCCAGCAGGCCCTCCCAGCCAGGGACCCTGTACCACTTCTGGGCAGAGGCTGGGAAACCTCATCACACTCAGCCCTACAGTGCAAACATCAGTGTCTCTGAAGACAAGGAATGGCCTTCATGTTCAGAAAATGTGTCCAAATCTCATACACTCCAAAAAGCCAAGCCAGCAGACCATCGCAACGCAGCCTGAAACAGAGAGCTCCGTGCATACGTTTAGAATGAATATCCTTTCACTATATAAAATTGTGCAACTGTTCCTCATTTTGAGAGAGGCACATCCCTCTGCTCTTTGATTTGCTCTTGAACTTGCGCTGTACTCCAAGCTTCTTCATTACCTTTGAATTCCCTCACTTAGCACAGTGCTCAGCCTACAGTAAGCATGGAGCAGAGGTCTTTTAAATCACTTAAACAAATAAATAAATAGAAATGAGTAAGCCGATGAGTGTGCGAATAAATTAATGGTGATTAAGCAAGCTTCAAATCCCAAGGAGAGAAAAACCAGCAAAGGAAGCCATGGGTTAATGACCCAAAGGCTTCTCTCGGGATGTATGCAAAAATATTATTACCAGGCTGGAGAGATGGCTGAGCAGCTAAGAACACTGACTGTTCTTGCAGAAGACCCGGGTTCGAATCCCAGCACCCACATGACAGCTAACAACTGTCCATAACTCCAGTTCCAGGGGATCCAACAGCCTCTTCTGTCCTCCGTGGGCATTGCAAGACACAGGTACACTTACCTTCATGCAGGCAATACACTCATACACATAAATAAAATAAAATAAAAATAATAAATGAAATATTTTTTAAAATATTATTACTAATAGGAAACTGATGCACTTTAATTCCCCCCTTTGCCATCTCCCACCTCAATAGTGGAGTGCAAGACTTTTTGTACCTACAGGGAGCAAGTATTTCTTTATAACAAATAAATTTGAGAACCAAATAAAAACTGATTCTTTGTGAAACTCCTTTAAGATTAAGATAAAAGTCCAAATACAGAATACCTATGTGTATGCCACAAGCATGTTAAAGGAGAAGACAGCTGGGCATGGTGGTGCACTCCTTTAGTCTCAGCACTGCAGAGGCAGAGGCAGGCAGAAGGTAGATATCTGGGAGTTCAAAGCCAAACCTCGTCTGTAACTGACTCAAAAAGACCAAAAAAAGAAAGAAAAGAAAAGAAAAAAAAGAACGAGAAAACACTGGGCTTAAGCAGGAAGGGTAGGAAGCCGAGCAGCTGAGCATGGAGCAAATTCCTCCTCCATCTCCCCTCTCCAGACTTTGCTGGGCTGGGCTGGACTGAATTGGGCTGGGCTAGCAGGTAGCCAAAGCCCTGGTTGCACAGGTCTAAGTCCCCATGCTTCAGAGCTCTGTGGCATGCTGGAGAGGAGCCAGGAGCGGGAACAGAAGATGGAGAAATCTTAGATGCTGAGCATCGCTCCTGAAAATACAGAGCACTACATAAAGGGACTGTTAAGTTATTGGATTGGACAAAGGCTTAAACTACAGTGGACATTTATTTGATTCTTTCTTCTTCTACTGAGTGGACCACAGCTCTTAAGGGATATTAAGTTAAATGGACAAAATGAAGAAACTACATTTTCCCTGCATAAACATGTTCTGTGAGTAAAATTTCAAACCCTGCTACAAATTCTTCACCATCCTTTTGTGTGTGACTACTAATTCCCTTTCATCTAGAAGCCCAAGACCATTATGCGTGTGTGCATGAGTGTGTGCGTGTGTGCGTGTGTGTGTGTGTGTGTGTGTGTGTATGTGTGTGCCAAGTGGTTGGCCTGATAAGATTACAGTAACAGGAGCTCACAGGTTGATAGTGTCTTGCTCCCCACGTGACCTCTAGAGTTGATGCCATGCCGTTCATGGGGAACTTCCAAGGTTCTCTGAGCAGTAGGCTCCCTCCAAGCCCCTCTAGTCTGCTAGCCAGAATGTATGGCATGGTTACAGAGAGCCAGAGCTGCTTGCTCACCTGGTACTGTGGAAAGGTGGAGTGGCTAGAGAATACTGGTGGAGGCGGACAGTTCAGGTTGAGCCAGAGAGGCTGGTTCAGGGTGGTGGAGGTCAAGGCTGTGGTGAAGCGTGGGGTGAAGACATTGCCTGCATACTTCACGTTGTTCTTGTCGGGCACTGTTGCTGGTGGGTTAACTGCAAGTCACAGCAGAAGGCAGGCAGCTCAGTGAGAGGCGGAGAGAGGCCAGGATCCCTTCTGTACCACAACTACACAGGGAATCACAGTCTCAGGGGTGGGGCCCTTTTAAGCTCCAAGAGGGTCCTTCCAAGTCTAGATGATACACAACTCCGGGAAAACACTTTGCTAGTTGGAAGGGCTGGTTTCTCTCTCATCATTCACTGGTAAATGAGGCTCCTTAGCAAGACGTGTGGTAAACAATGTTGCTAAGACTACATTTTACCTGCTTGAAAAATCAAATTCCAGATTTATACTTTATACAAACAAGTACAAGTTTATTGTAATGCATTCCTCTTTAGTGATTACAGCTGCTCCCACCAGTGCTGGACACTCAGCAAAACTAGAGAACTTTGTGTGAAGTTGTATCTATAGATTTATTTGTGTGTGTGTGTGTGTGTGTGTGTGTGTGTGTATGAGAAAGAGACAGAGAGAGAGGCAGAGAGAGAGAGAGAGAGAGAGAGAGAGAGAGAGATTGCCACATGTGTGCTGGTATCCGTGGAGGTTAGAAGAGGGCATTGGATCCCCTGGAGCTGGAGTTAGAGGCAATTATGAGCCACCCAACATGAATCCTGGGAACCTTCAGCTCCTCTGTAAGAGCAGCAAGTGCTCTTTACCTCTAAACCATCCCTCTAGTTCCCAAAGCTTTTCTAAATATTTTAAAACACGAAATAGTTCAATGTGGGCTAATTCAAAACCGAATCTAAAAACATACGGTTACATTCAATTGTTTCTGGATATGAATCCTGCTGGATTCTCTTCCTCTACAAAGACATTCTGTGAGATTATAGAATCAGAAATGGATCCTCGGTTTCCCCCTGCAAAGGCATTTCTTTAAAAAACAAAAGTTTGACTGAGGCAGTTGTAGGAAGGGAAGGGAAAGGAGAGGGAGCCAGGCTAATTAGTCTCCATGTAAAAAGATTCTCAAGAGTGGGTTTTGCTGTGAACTGGGCAACCAGAGAAACTGTAATTTATCCTAGGTAAGGGCTGTGTTTCCTATCAGACACTGTTAGTGCCCATGGGATCCCTGATAACCAACTACACTGATTCCCATGAGGGACTCCAGGAGAAAGTTATTTCCCCATTTTTATGGTTTTAAAAAAACCTGACACCTGAGGAAAGGTAGCGACTTCCCGTGGGGAAGACAAGGAAGGCACCCTGCCTGGTCTTCAAGGTTTTCTGGGAAGCTTTCTTCCTCAAGAAAAGTCCACTTACATTTCAGATCCAGCCCATCCACATCCACTTTGCTACGAAGCTTCAGCTGCCCACTGGGGTTCTTGGGGGCCCCGAAGATTTCATAGAGCAGGTTCTTCTCAGCAGGCCACATGGGCTTCTTGCTTGGCAGGGCCATGGAGATAGTGCCCACTGGGTCACTGTGGCCCTCCTCACCACAGGTATCCTTCCAGCTCTGGGGCAACTGGCTGAGAAAGAGGCTCTCTGGACCTTTGGCCAGCTCTTTGGTGCCAGGGTTCCGTTCTACAGAAGAAGGGAAACTGAGTCAATGAGTCTGGAAAGTCAAGTTCCGGAAGCCGGGAGTGATTTCTTGTAGAGTAAATGATGGATCTTCTATAGCACATGCTAGAGGTTCAAGCCACTCTAGGGACTCTTGCAGTCAAATACAGCCCCAGGCTCATTCTGTAGCTCTGATTGCTACTCATGCTGGCCTTCCTGCTGTGTGCATCCATCTCTCCATCTCCCCATTCACCCATCCACTCATCCATCTGCCTGTCCATTCATTCATCCACCTATCCACTCATCTACTCATCTATCCATTCCCATCCATCTATGTATCCATCCATCTTCCTAGCTATCCACTTATTCATCTATTCATCTATCCATTCATCCACCTATCCATTCATCATCTACTAGTGATTTCTCATCCATCCATCCATCATCCATCCATCTACATCTTCATTCTTCCCTCTCTCTTTTCCTTCCTTTTCTTCATTCATTCCCTCCTTCTTTCCACACACAGTGCCAGGCTGAGTATGTAAAGATGACTTGAATATAGTTCTTGCCATGAGGGAGCACGTGGCTTAGTTGAGGAGGCACATAACACTACAAAATACACAGTCTGAGCCACATAGCTTGGCTGCTTATCACGAACTTCACCTCTGCTGTGTTTCTTACAGGCAATTCAGCTCTCCTGCCAGTGCCAGGCCTTGCCCTGAGTACTGGGGACACAGTGATGAGTCAGAACCAGACTGCCCTGTAGGAGCTCACACAGAGAAGGAGGGAGAGATGTGCCCAGAAATAGCTCTAGGACAAGGCAGATGGGCACCATGAGGTGACAGAGAGACAAAATGGGAGAAGACATTGCCTGGGATCACTTTTGTCTGAGTGAGTCCTTTAACCAAGAAGGAAGTAAAGTTTTAGCAAGGCCTCACATGCAAGAGTATCTGGGAGAAAGGTGCCACAGGCCTAGACAACTGCAGACAAACATCAGGAAACATCAAAGAGACACAGTGAGTCACCGTAATTGGCTGGAGAAGGACACGATGGGTGCCAAACTCAGGTCTCACTCCAAACACACCAAGTGTCCATCCCTCCTGCAAGAACACGGTGACACAGCAGAGCCCCCCTCCTCAACAAGGCTCTCACTTACCTTTCCCCTTAGTGTTGGAATTCTTTCTTCAAAAATCAAGTGCATGTGTGTATATGCGGAACAGAGGATGGAAAACATTCTAAGAAAAATTGCGTCTGTACTGAACACGTACAGATTTTTCTTGTCATTATTCCCTAAACAACACAATCTAACAAGTATTTACACAGCATTTATGTGGTATTAGGTATCATAAGTAAACTACATTGCGTAGGAGGATGTGTGTAGGTTGTACGCCATTGCACATACGGGTATTCAGCATCAGTGGAGTTGGGTATTTGAGACTGGAACCAAAATACAGAGACAGCTTTATATATGTGTGCACGTGTATACATAAATTGTGTTCTATGTTATATAATATACACATGTGAATACATACGTATACATACACGTTGTTATTAAGACATTTAAGTGTTGGAAGCAGGAAGTGGGCTTGCCCTCTAGCTCCTTCAGTTTCCCCAGCTTGACTGTCTCTGAAAGCCTCCATAAAGCTATAAAGCTGACCGTGAAGTCCACCTGCAACTGGATGGCAGTGTACTGCCCTGGACACACTGCAGGCATCTGGAAACTCTGGTAAAGGGCAGATCTGAGGACCTGTGTCTCAGTGTTATTATTGGGAGTGGACATGATCCCACCAGATCATGAATCCCTAACCCAGCCCATCGGTCTCCAGGACTGATCTGCACATCAGACCTGCCATCCCAGAGTCATTCCGGCAAAGGGAAGAGCCGCTCCAGCCTGGGCCAGTTTAGGAGACAATGACAATTTTAGCAGAACATATCCCCAGAGTCTCTTCCAGGAGCTTCTCTGGTTGCTGAGTTTAGCCCCCAGCTAGTGTGCTGAAATAACAGCAAACCCACTAATAATAGCCCTTTCCCCAGAGACTAGACTGGTACACCTGCACCTCTCATACACCTACAATCAGTCCCCTGAACGTCTGCAATATGCCCCCTCTGAGGTCCGGGTCTGGGTTTACTTACCAATTTCTTGGCTGACTCTCTCTCTCTCTCTCTCTCTCTCTCTCTCTCTCTCTCTCTCCTGTCTTTTGCTTCACACCTATGTAACTACACACATGATAAGTACAAATACCAACATATAAACAGGCAGACACCCAACAGATGAACCACTCCTGTGCTTTCTCTAATGCACTCACCCTGGCAAAGCTCCCTCTGGCACACCTTTGCCTACAGATTTGTACACAAAGACACTTTCAGAAGGTAGTTAGGGGGAAATGGGCATGATACCTCTAATCCAGCAATCCCTTAGGCAAGGAAGATGGAAGGTTCTCTCTAGAAGGAAGAGGTTGGGTGTCCCTCTATTCCCTAGGGAAGGGATCAAGCCTCTCCCACCCACAGCTGTCATCCCAAAACCCTGCGACTCCTCTAGACCTGCTGCACACTGAGTCCAGCTTGCCATATTTGCTCTGATTTCCTGGGCTCCCTCTAGTGCACCAGAACACAGAATGTTCTGGATGGTGACTGTTCTTGGTTTTCAGGGAGGTGAACTGGGCTCTCCCCAGACAGGCACTGTCAGTTATTGCTTCACACCCACAGCCTTATCGGGGGGGGGGTGGCCTTTCTTTTGACTGGCACAAGCATGATCTACTCTCCTAGTGGGTGCTGACTGTAGGCAAATGAGCCTGTCATCTATCAGCCTTCTTGGAACCATCCAATCTGAATGTACACAGCACAGAATCTCAGGGAGAGGTGGGGAGATACAGGAGGGATTGGGTTTCCAGGGAAAGCTGTGGACTCTTCAATCAGGTGTTGGGAATATACTTATCTAAGCCTCTAGAGTCCCAGAAAACAAATCCCAGGACCAACAATCAGAACTGTGCCTGGATAACTTACACCCTAAGTGGTGGACCAAGCCTGATGGCCAGAGCAGATGGATTCATCAGAAGTTCAGTGACCCCAACTGCCAATCAATTTCCCTTTCTAGCCTCATCCCCAGGCTAGGGCTTCCTCCTGTAGGAGTGCCCTGGGTACCTGATAGAGTCAGAGATTTGCTACTTCCAGGGACTGCAGGGATGGTTCAGTTGGTACATGCTCGATACATAAGTGTGAGGATTATATGTTCAGATTCCCAGCATCTGTGTCAAAAGCTCTGTGTGGTAGTGAGTGTGTGTAATCCTAAATGTGGGGTAGGCAGAGTTAGGAGGATCCCTGGAGCTCCCTGGCCATCTAGTGAGCTGCAAGTTCAGTGAGTGAGAGACCTTATATCAAAAAATAGAATGGATGGGGCTGGAGAGACGGCCCAGCGGTTAAAAGCACTGGTTGCTCTTGCAGAAGACCTGGGACCCACATGGTAGCTAACAATCCTAGCACCCACATGGTGGCTAACAACCATCTGTAACTCCAGTTCCAGGGGATCTGATGGCCTCTTCTGTCCTCCACAGGTATTGTATGACGCAGGTGCACTTACATACGTGCAGGCAATATACGTATACACATAAAATAAAAATTAATAAATCAAAAAAGTGGAATGCAGATTCATAGAAGACACCCAACAGTGATCTCTGGCCTTCACACATACACATGCATGCACACACATGTGCACACACGAACATGTGTATATACATACACCCTTCCACTCACACAGATGGGAACTGAGCCCATGAAGTGCTTATCTCTTCTCAAAATGAGCTGGAAGCAGGGCCTCCATGTTTGCACATACCTCATGTGTGTTTGCACATACCTCATGTGTGTTGTGCCTTGCCCATCTGTATCCAGCTGAGGAGCTACAAGACTAAAGTCTGCACTGGGAGCCTGCACCTCCCCTGGAGGCTGCTTTGCCCTGCTTTGCACAAAGATCTGCATCGGCCTTGATCAGCTTCCTAGAAGGCTCTCCTCCTGGCAAACTCCTTCACCTCCCTGTTCCCAGCCCCACTCACGCGTCCAGTGGTGCCTCTCCAGGGTGGAGTCAGCCTCATTCTTAGAGCAGATCTTGGCAAACACAGGGAGCTGCCTCTCCGGAGGTGGGCACTCAGGTGGTTTGTCAGAAAGGGCAGGAGGAGGTGGGGGCTGCAGCAGCAGGAACGGGCCAAGCTCCGTGGGCTCCTGGGGTCCAGAGCCACTGAACATGTTGTTCTGCAGGAAGTCCTTGATGACCTTGGTCTCCTCCAGTACCATCTTGTTGTCGGGGGCCGTGGAAAGTTCTGTGGACTTCGGCGGAAACTGGGCTAGGAGCTTGCTGATCTCTGAATTAGAGGCACCTAGACTCTGGCCTTTGTCCTTAGTCCCTTTGGCACTCTTGGCCTTGGCAGCTCTCAGGATTCCTGTGACTGTAGGCATGGCAGAATCACAGTCCTGCCTGGTGGCGATGACGGGCATGGGCACGGACAACTTCTGCTCCCAAAGCTTGTCACCAGCCATGATGGAGGTCCCTGGGTACTCGGTGTTCTCTGCCCCCAAAGGAGGCACAAGAAAACAGGGATCCAGCTCCTGGGTCCCTTGCAGAGGGCCGACAGGTGTTGCCAGCTCCCCAAGGCCCTCTTGGACCAAGATGAGGTGCTCTTTGGTGAGGCTCAAGAATTCCTTCTCCACAAGCAGGGAGATCTCATCTTTGCCACTGCTCAGCTCCAGAGCACTGAAAACAGGTCAGAGACAGATGAGTTAGTGTCTGCTCTTCAACCATTGGCTCTGTCAGTAGGACATGGGCCCCAGGGAAAGGGAGTGGATTCACAGCCTGATGAACACGTTTCCTGTTGAGAAAAACCTGTTGCTTTCTCAAGAGAGGAAAGGGACCAGACAGAGATGCACTGAACTCTCAACAGGACTCAACATTGCCCACTGAGCCATAGTGCTGAAAGCATCCATCATACCCTGATCCCTCATAATGAGGACCTGAAGCAACAAAGACCAGAGAGGTGGTTCACTGAGGAAAATCTGCCCAGCAGGAAAGGGGCTGGCAGTGAGTGAGCAGCTCAAAGCAAGGGGTCCAGAGCACTGAGTCTGAGCCTGGAGAAGTCCCCAGGAACACAGCACAGCTGGCCCCCCTCTTGGAGGAGTGGACAGACAGTCAACCTCATGCCTGGCTCTGTCACTACTCATCTGTATGACTCTGAGCAAGCTTTTCAGGATTTCGGTCACCCCCGTCTTCTCATGTGATTACAAAGGATATCACAGAAGTACATTTGAACAGAGCAGACACAGTATCCCAAGGGTGACACACCTGTCAGCTGCTATTCCACAGGACTCACAGTTTGACCAGACCCTGTATCCTAGATTCCTCAGTGTGACCATCTAGGTACTTGTGTCTACCCTTGCTGGGGTAACTTCTGACTGGATCATGGCATCTGGATTGGTTTCAAATTATAGGAGACAGCAGCACTTAGTTAGTCCTTGAACTGGTTCATAAAGCTTCCCTTGTATTCCCATACTCCTGTCCTCTACCCACATCATTGGCCCTGGACTCCCACAGTCTGATGACACTTGATAGTCCCATGGACACTGAGCTCCTGATTACTGAATCTCCTTGGGAGACAGAGAAGGTAAGCCTGCCATCCAAGCTACCCACCAGCATCCTTGGGGGGGAATACTTTCTCACACTGCATTACCAAAGGAACCAAGACCCCCCAGCTTAGATTCATCTGCTATCCCTACTCGAAGGGATCCTGGGAGGTGTAGATGGAGTGGCCTAAGCCTGGAACATTCTGGAAACCCACTCAACGCTCCACCTTGGGCACACCAAGAGGGAAGATGATGAAGAGTCAGGGAAAAAATGAAAGGAAACCATGGGCAGAATTTAGCCTCGGCTGGTTCACAGTGCATAACCAAGACATGGTCCATTAAGAGGGCACAAGGTGTTCATAACACAGTGCTGGTGAGATGCCCCTACCTTCCTGGTAGTGCTGTCTACACACACACACACACACACACACGCAAAATAAAATGCATACACATCTTGATGCACACACATCTGCACAGAAGCAGGCAAGTACTCAGCTTATATGATGTCATCACCTGCAGGACCAGGGATGTAGCCCCTGCTCTTGGGAGTCTGCAGTATAGGGACAGGTTCCAGTCTTAAAAGCTTCTTCTGTGCCACACATGACCCTTTTAGCTGCTGGGTCTTAATGAGAAAGGCTGAATAGCCAGGGTACTCAGGGAGCTGGGATGTTAGAGGTGAGCTACATACCAAAGATATATAGGGCATGTCTCTACATTCCAATCCCCCATCCTGAGCCCACTCTACCACTCCCTGAACCTCAGCCCTTTGGGTATCCTCTCCAGACCTGGAGGCAGAAAAGAATGCCTAGCACAAGTTAACTCCAACCAACTCCAGCCACACAGACCTGGGTTTGAACCCTAGCAATGTTACTTAGGTCATGCCAGGCCCTGGAACCTCAAGGTCCTCCCCTATAAAATGAATGTAACACCTAATGGAACATGCCTCGTGCACGTGTTGGGTAACCCAATTACTATGGGTTATGAGCATTTAGCAATGAGAACTGGACCTGACAAGTCCTGCAGGGCCATTGGGGCTGTGTGTGAGGCAGGCTTACCTCCTACTTGAAATTTTCTCTTTCCCTCATGCTCTCTCTCCTCCTCCCTGACCCTCTTTCTTATCCCTTTCCTTTTGCCTCCTTCCCATGTCTAGACTTAGGGCTATAAATAGGCCCATGCTCACTGATGTGCCCTGTGAACAATCAGAATAAAGAAGATGCCCCAACTTTCAGATCTGCTTCCTCCTCCTCCTCTTCTTCTTCCTCCTCTTCCTCCTCCTCTCCTCTTCCTCCTCTTCCTCTTCCTCCTCCTCCTCTTCCTTTTCCTCCTACTCCTCCTCTTCCTCCTCCTCCTCTTCTTCCTCTTCCTCCTCCTCCTCTTCCCCCTCCTCCTCCTCCCCTCGTCCTCCCCCTTGTCGTCCTCCTCCTCCTCCTCCTCTTCCTCCTCCTCCTCCTCCTCTTCCTTCTCCTTCTCCAAGGGAACAGGTGAGTCTCAACTCCCAGAAATCAGACACTTGAAGGACTAGTTCCCCCTCCCACCTCCACTTGTAAAGCAGGTGGAATGCCAATAGCTTTTCAGAATTACACTCACCTCAATGATATTCATTTTTAACACTGATCGTGGTATTGTGGTCACACTTAAACAACAACAAAAGCAGTCCCTATCTCTCAGAGCTACACATTAAATATTTATAGATCAAATTATGTCTGGAGTTTCCTTTAAAATTAATCCGGCTAGGGAAGGGAGGGAGGGGGGAGAAAAGGAGGGAGGGAAGGAGAGGATGTAATAGACGAAACAAAGCCCCTCATTGGCTACACATGTCAGTTGTGGGGAAAGCTGGAGGCAGACACGTGGGGTCACCATGCTAGTCACTCTGCTTGGGTCTATATTTGGTTTCTGTTGTTTTTTGGTTTTTAATAAAACATGTTACATGCATATACACACAAAAAGTCACCACTGAATCTTTTAAAATACCAGCTCCAAGCTGCAGAAAAGCAGCTTTATTTCCCAATGCCTCTGGGGGATAGGTGGATGTGGGGGGGGGTGTGCATGTACATGCATGTGTGTGCATGTTGATGCCAGGTGTCAACCTCAGGCATCATCCTCGGGAACACTGTCCACCTCCTTTGAGACAGGGGTCTCTTGTTGGCTGGGAGCTCACTAATGAGGCTAAAATCGCTGGCCAGCAAGCCTTAGAAACCACCCATTTCCACCTGCCTGGCACTGCGATTACAAGTGCATATCAGAATGCCTGGAATTTTTGCATGAGGTCAGGGGATTGAATTTCAGTCCTTTTGCTTGTAAGGCAAGCACTCTGAGTCGTTTCCTAAGCTCCCACAAATGCACTGTCTAAGGGACCTTGAGGTCCTTGGACCAAAACACCTAAGTATGGCCCTTAATTGACACCCATCTTGACCCTCTTGCCATCCCTAGTCCAAGAGCCAGGCAGTGGAGCGGGAGCAGCAGGTGCCAAGTGGGAATTCCTGAGCTGCCCCTTAACAGCTACTTTCTAAGCCTTGCTTTTTCCCATCTGTCTAGTAGGGTCACACTCTCCTCTCAGGGTTATACTGCAAAGATGCTGTGAGGTAAGTCAGGCAAACACTCAGCACAAGTGTATATTCATTTGTGACTAAATCTGTGAAAAGTCACCCAACATACCTCTTGCACAGCCCACCACCACCACCACCACCACCACCACCAGACCCTGCAGACACCTGCAGCAACACAGAAGCCCCCTCCTCTTTCTACCCCACAGCCCTGTGGCATCTGAGGAATCACTTATGTTCCTCCTGGTTGCTCCCACTTCCTTTTCACCATCTAAATCCACAGCCTGGGGGACATCGCTTCTACTGACCCATCCTGGTCATTCCCCTCTGGACACTCTGCAGAGGCCAGTGGGGCTTTTAGCAATCTAGAGAATAAGCAGCACGCTTAAAACAGAGGTGCCTCCCTGGCAAGGCCTCCACTTGTCCCTCAAAGGCCACTTGAGGCATTGTTTATCTTGAGGTCACCACGGGCCAGATGGGTAGCCAGTAGTCACACGCTTGATCTTCTCCACATCCACGGACACCAGACGGTATCATCCACACTTCACAGATGGGGAGAGTAACCCCGACTGACCAAGGACCTGTCACCATGCTCAGGAGGAGGTTGGTGTAAGGACACAACTGGCCCAACTGCCTGCACTCACTCCGCCTCCCTCAGCGGGCTTCCTCTCTGGAGAGTTCCCCAATGAGGTCCCCCAGTTCCTGGCTGGGCTTTGTTCTCCAATCTAAATGCAATCAGGCATATTGCCTCACTCATCCCATCACTCCAACCCTTAGAGGATCATCACAGTAAATCTTGAGTCTGTCATCCATGGCATTAGCCATCCCTGACAGCTCCATGTCAGCTGCATGTCTGATGAATGCGTCTTCTGACTCTTCTGGCAATTTATAGTTAGAAATGTTGAACAGGAAAGAGTCCAGAGCAGGGCCATGGGGACACCCCTGAAGACCACACTTCTAGCCTGACACCAATCTGGGATGAGCACTTGGGAGAAATAAATCACCCCCATCACCTGTCTCAACTCCTCCATGAGAGCCCTTCATCAACATCCTGCTGCAATCAAGATTCCCCACATACTCAGAGGTCCCTAATCCTGTGTCTCCCCTACCTCCCTTCCCTACATCCCCAAGAAAATAAGATTTGCTCATTCTTATTTGTTTTAGAAAACTGCACGGTCACAGAGCTAGAACATTCTCAGAACTCAGATCAAGCTATTCTCCTGCTTAAAACCGTCTTGTGGATTCTCATTACTCACAGGATAAAAATCCAAACTCCTTTATGATCCCCAGGATACTACACAAATTGGCCCCATCTCCTACTCCTTCTAGTCAGCTTGATCTTTTAGCTGCTCCTTGAACTGTCAAGCTCATTCCAGTCCTGGGGCTCTTGCATTTCCTGTGGAATAATCTACTAACCCCAAGATTGCCCCTTGCCTGACTCCTCCACATCATGGAGGTATCAGTTCAGATGTAGTCTCAAAGTGGCCTTTCCTATCCGTTTTTTAAGAACTGCCCCTCTCCTTCTTGCTAGACATGCTCTGTGGGGTCTCCATCAGTCTGTTTCCTTCATAAGCCTCTGTCCCTATCATTCGGT